TAATTATGGGGTCTAACAATTCTTATACACACAAAGGACAAACCCATACCCTTATGAAAGTTGGTACGGTACAGAGCCGACTAGTCGACTCTATTGTCCACCAACTTTAGGTAAGGATGTCTGCTCATGAATAGTGCTTTTTGTACTATTTACTGTAGCAGAGGACAAGCCTTTCTCTTAAGGCTTGACACGCACTCTAATCCTACCTTATTGCATTAAATGAACATTTAATGCACTTGGTATAAATAGAAGTGTTTATTCTCCATGCATAGTGCGCGCAACTCACTCTCTAAACCTAATTCTTACTTCAAACATTTTCTAGCTTAAGTAAATGATCTTCTCTTTACAACATTTTTTTCTTGTATTGCTAAGAACTCGTGTGTAACCAAAGATTGTTTAGATATGTTTTTACTACCTTATCTTTCCGCCAACAATCTTGTAAAATCTGTTTTGATCTTCTTTATCAATATATATTTTAAATTTGAAAATATTGTATTTGTATTCAYCCCCCCCCCCTTCTACAAACTGTTTTACTATTCTTGTAGACCCTCAAGGGACCAACAGTTTCATATTGTTTTAAGGGTTATCATGGTAGATTGTGTTTACGGGTTACGAGTTGTGATAGTAGAAGTGTTTTATATTATAGAGTAAAACCATGACATTGGGTCCTAAAACAGCTAAAAAACCAGTCTGAATCGTTCCCTATTTATTAAAAGCACTCCTTAATAGTCAAATCGATTTATACACTAAAAAACAAAATAACGGTCAAACTGCGTAAATCAAATATAATATCTGATTTTTGTCCTCCAAATTAGATACAAATAATTTTGTTCATATCAACATTCATTATAGAATATTAACATTCAGTGTTTATAAAAAATATATTTCTTATAAGAAAATATAAGAACATTCGTTGGTTAATTTATGCGTTTAAAAAAAGTGATAAAAATTATTAAGCTTCACGTAGTTTCATATTGTTTTAAGGGTTGCATGGTAGATTGTGTTTATGGGTTACAGGTTGTGAGAGTAGAAGTGTTATATTTTATAGAGTAAAATCATGACATTTGGTCCTAAAACAGTTAAAAAACCAATCAAAATCGTCCCCTATTTATCAAAAACACTTCTTATTTGTCAAATCGATTTATATATTAAAAAAGACAAAATAGCGGTCAAATTTGAAGGCTGGATCGCCCCCAGGGAGAAGATCCAGTGAGGTGGGGGGGGGGTGATCCGGGTATACGAGACAAATAGTGTTTGGTCTCCTAAAGTAGATACATGATATGGGCCCTACAAATTAATTTTAAATTATTTTTTGTATTTTTTTATCAAAGTTGGCCAGGATCTCCCCCATGGTCAAACCATCCCTCCCCCGAAGGCGTTCCATATGGTAAAACTTGTAAAAATGATTATTTTTGTTAATACATTAAGTATCATCTAAGTATCAATTGTGTTTTTAAATTTTCTTTTATTTTTATGTTATTAGTTGGAGATTGAGAGATGAATTGGCTTATTAATATTGAAGATGGAGAGATAGATGTAATCTAATATTTTTATTTTAATAAATTATAGTAAATGGAAAAAATGTTGAGTAATGTTATAATTATTGATGTCCCATCATCTTTTTAGACTTATTTTTATTTAAAATTTGAATATGACATGATATATAGATTGACCTGATCCACGTCATCGATAATAGTAGGTAAATCATACCCTTAAATAAACATAAAATTTAGTTTAGACGCTAAAATGACGATTTTAAAAGTTGGTTCTCTAAAATAGTGATAAGGTGAAAGTTGGTTTTATTTTGATGCAATTTTTTCTTTTTCTTTTCATGTATTAACGAATAAGTAGAAAATTACAATGAACCAGTAATATGAAAAAATACATCATTTTTATTAACCATTACTTATTTTTTGGATTTAAATTACAATCACAAAGTGTTTGTTATGATCAATTTGATTGCCATTTGAATCTAAAAAATAAATAATTATTAGATTCTCTTGTGATTTTCATTTAAATATGAAAAATAAGTAATGAAGGTATGTAAGGTAACAAACAAACCTCTGATGCGACTTATACCGGCTTGATTCAAGCTAGTTTGGACCCTGCGCAAATTGAAGGCGAAATCTACAGATTCAACCATATGCACAAGTTTTGCTCCTCGAATTTAGTTACGTATAATGTTATGCTCAAAGGGTATCTCGATCACCATTGGTTTGAAGATGCAATATTGTTGTTCCATAGATTATTGGAGAACAGAGCTGTGTTATAAGTTCAACCGATTACAGGCATACGGTGTTACCAAATATTTATACTTTCAACTTGATGTTAGATGCATGTTTTGTGAATCAACAATGGGATGACTCGAGTTTTTCTACACAACAATGCTGCAACACGGATACTACTTCAATGCAAAATGACATTCCGGATGATACTGGAAGCTTCCAAGGCCGGCAAGGTAGTATTTTTATATGTAGCACTGTTTCTTTAATCTTTGAATGCCTATCACCTACGGTCGCTACAACAAAATTAGTTCTATAGGACATCAAATATGTCTAAATGTCTTAATAGATTGCTTTATAGGATTAAACAATTGTGTATCATATGTAAAAAAGTTACAATAAGTTAATAAGACGTTTTTAGATGTCCTAACAAATTTTAGGACACTTTTCAAATAAAAAATGTTTTATTAGCTTTTTTACAAGACTCTAGAAGTGTCCTATGAACATATCTTTTTATAGAACATTTATAAACTATTATCATACAAAAAGATTAAGGACTTTATTCCAAACCTGTCCTATCAGCGTATTGTAACACTTTTACGTACATACGACACATAAAAACTACTTCAAACAATGTTTCAGTAAGCTTTCGGGGTTTTTTTCCACTTTTTTCCAATTATGCCTCTTATATTTTTTTCAATAATTTTTCGGCATGTTTTTAAGTCATTTTACATTGCGCTCAATCAAATGATTCTAGACGTAGAAAAAGAGTTTTCAACTATTAGGCCATATCTACCGACTATAAACTAGCTTATTTTTCGAAGTTATTGAAATTTTTTTTTAGTTAAAGCCATAAGCTAGCTTTTTGAAAAGTTACTATAAGTAGCATTTTAATAAGCTTCAAGATTTTTATGCCCCTGAAAGGAGGTGTGATTGTAATAGAAAATGAGAAGAATGAACTAATCCCAACTAGGATAGTGTCAGGATGGAGAATATGCATGGATTATAGGAATCTCAACAAAGCAATCCATAAAGACCATTCCCCTTGTCTTTCATAGATCAAATGTTGGATAGATTAGTTGAGAGAAAAAAAATACTATTGCTTTCTAGATGGTTATTCAGATTATAATCAGATTGCTATTGCACCTGAGGATCATAAAAAAACCACTTTCACTTGCCCCTATGGTATATTTTCTTTTAGCAGAATGCCATTTGGACTCTGTAATGCTTCTGCCACATTCCAAAGATGCATGACGTCCATTTTCTCTGATATGTTGGAAATCTCTATGGAGATATTCTTGGATGACTTCTTTGTCTATGGATCTTCTTATGAGGAATGTTTGAAGAATTTAGAACAAGGTCTTAAGAGATGTGAGGAGACTGATTTGGTTCTAAATTGGTAGAAATGTAACTTCATGGTTAAGGAAGGTATTGTGTTAGGACATGCAATCTCAAGGAGAGGAATAAAGGTAGACAAAGCCAAGTTAGAGGTTATAGAGACTTTACCCGAAACCACAAATGTAAAAGGAATAAGAAGTTTCTTGGGTCATGGTGATTTCTATAGAAGGTTTATAAAAGACTTTTCAAAAGTTTCCAAACCTCTCTCTTTGTTACTGCAACATGACCAACCTTTTGATTTTAACAAAGAACGTAAATTAACTTTTGACACTTTGAAGAAGGCTTTGATTTCTACCCCAATTGTAATCACACCAGATTGGACAAACCTTTTGAATTAACTTGTGATGCAAGTGATTTGGCAGTTGGTGCAATTTTAGGCCAAATCAAGGAAAAAGTTCTTCATCCTATCTACTATTCCATTAAGACTTTGGATGATGCTAAAATAAACTACACAACCATTGAGAAAGAACTTTTCGCTGTGGTCTTTGCATTTGAAAAATTTAGATCCTACTTAATGGGGACTAAGGTCACTATTTATACAGACCATGCTTCCATTAAGTATTTGATTTCTGAAAAGGATGCCAAGCCAAGGTTAATGAAGTGGGTACTTATGCTACAAGAGTTTGACATTGAAATAGTGGATAGGAAGGGAATAAATAACCAAGTTGCTGATCACTTGTCAAGAGATTACATAAAGGAGAATCAAGCTCTAGTGAAATCAATGAAAAATTCCCAGATGACCAAGTCTTAATGCTGCATCATTCTATAAACCCATGGTTTGCAGAAATTGCAAATTTCATGACTGTTGGGATCATACCACCAGAGCTAAATAAAAACCAAAGAAAGAAGTTACTCCATGATGCAAAGAGTTATCTATGGGATAACCCATTTGTGTTTAAGTTAGGGGCTGACCAGATCCTTAGAAGGTGTATACCTCATGAGGATGTGCCTGCAGTATTGCAGCATTGCATACTGCTGCATATGGTGGCCATTTTGGTGGCCAAAGAATTGCAGCCAAAGTCCTACAATCTGGAATTTTCTGGTCTACCCTATTTCAAGATGCTGTTAGCTTTGTCAAAAGGCACAATAAATGTCAAAGGGTTGGATCCATCTCCAAAGACATGAAATGCCCTTAAATGACATTCTTGAAGTTGAACTCTTTAATGTATGGGGGATAGACTTTATGGGACCATTTCCCATGTCTGGAAACTATCAATACATTTTGATAGCTATAGATTATGTATCCAAATGGGTAGAAGATGCAACTTGTAACATAAATGATGCAAAGACGGTAGTCAAATTTTTACATAAACATATTTTACAAGGTTTTGTACTCCTAGAGCTATGATTAGTGATAAGGGTACCCATTTTGTAAACAACATGGTGAAAGAAGTTATTGAAAAGTATAATAAAAGCCATAGGGTAGCTATTTCTTATCAGCCTCAAACAAATGGCTTAGCTGATCTTTTAAACATGGAGATCAAGAGTATCTTAGAAAAAGTGGTAAAACCAATAAGAAAGGATTGGCCCTTCAAACTTGGTGATGCTATTTGGGCCTTTAGGACTGCCTATGAAACCCCTATTGGAATGTCTCCCTACAAGCTAGTCTTTGGAAAAGCTTGCCACTTACCACTAGAACTTGAGCATAAAGCTTTTTGGGCTTTGAAAGAGCTTAATATGTGTGCAAATGCTGCAGATGAAAGGAGAAGGCTACAAATCAATGAAAATAAAAAATGGCATGATAAGACGATATCTCAAACAGAGTTTGTAGTACGTCAAAAAGTATTGTTCTTTAATCTAAGGTTGAAACATTTTCCAGGAAAACTAAGATCCAAGTGGACAGGGCGATTTGAGGTTCACAAAGTCTACCATCATGGAGTAGTGGAACTCATTGACCCCAATAATGGATCTATTTTCAAAGTGAATGGTCAAAGAGTGAAGTCCTATATTGATACTGCAGAAATCACAAGTACCATATATATGGTATACCTCACTCATTCCTAGAATTTGATGTTGATGGTTGTCATTGCCTTTAAACAATGTACATATGTAAATACAAGTGTTTTATTTTAGAAGGTTTGGTTAATTTTGCGTTCTTTTTTTTTCAGAATGACAAGATTTTTGTGAAAAAGGTACAACTATAGCAATTTCTTGCAGTGTTGCAGCAACCTGTACCTGGCCCACAACTCTTGTCAGCCGAACATACACTCAAGAGTACGCAAATATGCTTTGTGAAAAGCAGATTTTGGCCAGAAAGAATCAGATTCTCACCATTTTCCCATGCTTTTAACATCATTAACCTAAAACATCTAGTTTTGTACCATCATTAACCATTAGTTGGTTAGTAACCACAACCCCTCAACTCCCCCTTTATTCGGTTCCTTCCCAACCAAAAACCCACGATTGTTGCCTACAGTAACCACTTGCTTCCAAACCACAACTTCAAGTCTGTTAGTTTACTTTGGAGTGCAGGGGTATTCAAAAGCAAAGAAAGGGGAAGGACGAACATGTGCTAATAAACCAACTGAAAGATGAAGAATCCATGGAGGCTGCTCTACCTACTTTGTTGAAGAAAAAAAGTCGAAGACAGTGGCTCGGTCAACATCGACCAGAAAGCCACCATTGAAGAAGCTCAAAATATGGGCAATTAATCAAGGTACAACCTAACATTCCACTTCCAATACTTCATCCCATTATGTTTCTACCAGTTCTTCTAGCCACAGTGCTTCGACATTGACATAAACAAGGAACCCTCATCACCCACAAATGATGAAAGCCAAGTTTTATTGCTTGGTGGTCGTTTTCCTCTACCCCCAAGTCCTCAAACAAAAGAGATTATGCTCATATCTCTGAAAATCTACCCAATGCTGTTGAGAAAACCAATCCACCAACATTACATATTCTAGATGACACATTCTATGCCACTACCTTCATTTTAGGAGAGTCAATCACTGCTCCTACAATGGAAAGCAATCCAGTAACCACTTCTGCCTAACACAAAACAAAGCCTAAATCTGTTTTGAAGCCCAAAGAACCCAAGAAAATCAGTTCTGCAACCATGTTGGCTGGACAATCACAACCAATAGAGAGGGAAGAAGAGACTATGAATGTGGTGACTAATGCCACCAAAAATGTTCATGCTGGAGGAGGGAAAGGAAAGGGCATAGTACATTACTCTAATTATGTAGAGGAGGAGGACAAGAGTTCTGAGGATGATGATTCTCAAGATGAGGATGTTTCTGTTGGTAGTGAGGAGATGACTGCAAAATCTGAGGAGGACAGTGAGTCAATAATTGCTAAGCAGATTCAGACCCAAAGGAAGAAAGTTTCCAAGAGAAGAAAGGTAGTATCACCACCACCTAATCAAAACAAGTCCAGGAGAATCAATGTTTCTTTTGGGACTTTTAGATGTAGAGAAGCATATGACCATTTTGGTGATATGGCTTCTAAAGAAGCATTGGCTGACAAAGGCTTTAGCTCTGAGAGTTTGAAGGAATTCCCATTCATCCAAGAGGCCATCACTAGGTTTGGATGAGAAATATTTTGTGTTGTACCTCTTGGATTCAATCTCTCCCTTGTAAGGGAATTTTATGTTGAGGTTGCCACATCCAAAGGCCATACAACAATGGTAAAGGGCACTGATGTATGTTATGCCCCTGACATCATTGACAACGTTTTTGGTATCATTCCACCCGCTCCTTGTGAATATAGCCAGTTGGTGACCAATGCCACTGATAAGGATGCTAGGATGGTACTGTTGACAATTGTACAACCTGAAAAGATATGGAAGAACAAGATTTTTAGAACCTTAAAAAGTAGGGACCTTCTCCATATTCTAAGCATATGGTTTTACTTCTTTAGATACACTCTCTAGCCAACCACCCATGACTCTGCCCTGACATTTGAGAGAATGGTGATCATCTACTACATAATTACTGGAAAAAGATTCAGTGTGGGGGAGGTCATTTCTAAGAGCATCAAGTCTTGTGTAGAGAAAAGCAAGGGAGATATTTGGACCCCATCCTTGATACATGCATTGCTGACCAGGGCAGAGGTAAGATTTGTTCCTACTGATGAGTTTATGACATGAAAGACTGTGATTGAAATACAAACAATCAAGAGGGTGAATAAGAATGTAGAGAAGGCAATGAAGAAGATTGTCATTGTTACAACACAGGTTATGATTGTTGCAGCAACCACCCCTGCCCCTGCTGCTGGCACTTCCATCAAAACAAGGAAGATCCCAATATCAGAACCAACACCAACACATAGCCTAACCTTGTCACTAATTCATTCTCGTATATAGTAAAGAAGATGGAGAAGCATCAAGAGGCCCTGTTGAAGAAGTTGGAGGAGAGAGATGCCATTTGGATGGCAAGAATAGAGAAGCAGAAGAAGAAGCTTGAGGCCAAGGTAGAGAAGAGTGAACAAAAGTTGCTAGTCTATTTAAAAGAATAAGATAAAGCTATGCTATAAATGAGAAAACTTACTACTCTACAAAGGCAATACCAGATGAAAAAAGATGGAGTAATAAAGGCTGAATAGGCCATGGAACATCCAGAAGAGTATGCCAGTATTGGGCCATAGGTACCAGAACTTATCAGAGAAGCTGAGGAGCTCATTCCTTAAGGTACAACACTACCTACTCCTAATGAGTAGGGCATGTCCATTTCTTTCACCCTTAGCTCTATAGTATTTTATTTTCTTATTTTTTCAATTTTATTACATTGAGTCTGGGAACTTTGAATTTTGTTTTAGGAATTTATGAGATTGTTGACTGTTAACAAACCATATCCCAATTAATTTTTTTGTTAAAGGAACATTCTGATACTTAAGCCTAGAACTAAGCACACCCACCTTGGAAGCAAATAGACATCCCACCTTGCTGTTTTGGAACATGATTTAGGCCATTCTTTCTTATACATCATCCCATACACTACCACTTCGAACCCATGACCCTATCCTTTTAAGAATCCTCAATGAGGACATTGACATATTCAAGTGTGGGGTAGGGAGTGTATGCACTATATGTACTAGTATGCAACAAAAGTCCCTAGAACAATATCTAAAAGCGCAAATTCTTTGCATAGCATACAAAATGTTCAAGTCAAAGCAGAAAAGATCAAATATGCATAGCATATACACTATTTGTGCATCATAGGTAAGCTTGAATAATTGAAGAAAGAATGTATTGAGCCTCAAAAGAAGAAAACATAAAAGTCCTAATGATTTTGATTTTTAGCAATTGGTAGATGTCTAACAAAAGGAAGTGTGACTTTTGGCCTATGAAAATAAGTTAAAAGATTGGATCATACACAGAATTATGCATGGCAATAGTGTTGTTTTGTTATCACTCTCATTAATGTTGATTTTTCATTTTCACCCTTCAAATTTTCTTTCAAATTTATGGTATTGAGGTCATTTTAAGTTGTCATTTTAGTTTCTTGGGGACAAACAACAGTTTAAGTGTGGGGGTGTGATAAATGTGTAAAAGCATACACTTTAGCACCGAATTATAACTTTATTTCACTTTATTTTACACCTTTCCCAATCCTATGTTGAGTCTTTTAGTCTTATTTTATGGTTTTACATTTAATGGAGCTAGGATGCAGAAATGGTACTGTTTTATGAATTTGGTGAATATAATGATGACATAAGCATTGTTGTAGCAGGTGTATACGTTACTACAACACTGAATACTGGATATTGGCACAGCTAGCTCAATCCCGTTGAAAATGTTGAAAAGTCAAATTTTGAAGAAAGACATATTCTAAGTACTGATAGCAAGAGATTTAGATGGAATATGCCACTGCAAAGATAACTTAAACTCTTGTACTAAAACATCTTTTGTACCAGGGCATCTTTTCTATTACCTTTGGTTATTAACCAATGGGTATTACCCACTAGTACTTTTGATTCCTTCTTGCTAGTATATATATATATATATATATATATATATATATATTTGGGAGTAATCCTTTGGACAATTGAAACACTTGAAAGTACTTTTTAGCGTTCTTCATCACCGTCAGTTGCTACAACAACCTTTACAGCTTTCTCTTTACTTTTCGTGTAGAATTTACATTTATATCATTTACATTCAATCACTTCTATTTATGTCATTTAATTTTAAGCACTTACATTTAGTCATGCTAGGCTAAATACCTTAGTATGGGTGTAAGTGAAGGTTGTGAGATTACGCCAACTGTTAGTTGATGTTTGCTTGTTAATAAAAACTTATTTCGCTATTCACAAGTGGTATTAATATTTCTTTTCGTAATCTTTGACAAATTGACACATATTATTTTATTCAGATGAGTTGGACTTAAAATTAAGACAAAACAAATATTTTTACTAACTGTGTCATGGAGGCTATAAAGAGATGTTGTAATCTTATGAGTTGCAAAACTATACGGAAATAAAGGCAAGATCTGTACTAGTTTGGGATTGATGCATCACCAAGTGCACTTCCAACATATGGTCTAATCTGCACTTTATTGGAAGGTCGTTCAATCTAGTAGTGTTCAAAGAGTTATTTATAGAACAATATTCATTACACTTCATTGCTGAAATCCAACATGACCTTGCATCCATTCTATCTTTTAATTATTGTTTCATTTCAGTATTTGGTTACCAACTCTCGCAAAAATATTTTTCTCTCTGAAGCGTTATTGCTTCCAAAAACCTTTTTTTTCACTTTAAAGTTAACTTTTGTGACTCTCTTTGCATATTAAATCTCCGATGAAAGATATTTGGTATTACTTACCATTATTACTTGCTTTGGACGATACTTGTAATCCATGTATACTTGCATGATTTACTTGTTATTATAGTCTTTTGAGGGTATAGATTCTTCCATATCAATACACATAATTCCAGAATTGCCCGTTGCCAATTTTCCTTCTTTAGATCGTGCCCTTGATTGGGCTTCAAATCTTATAAATGCCACCGTTTCAATCTCAGCCATTTATAATATTCATCCATGGTCTAGAAAAGTTTGTATT